ATGGAAAACAAATAGCCGATGCCTTGGCAGATGATACAAAAACTTCTTTCCTTCGATTAATTTTCACATGAAAAATTAAAAAATGCCACAATCTTATATACTTTTTTAACGAAACGAATACATTTGAATGGGATTAATTCAAGAATATTCTATACCATTTCAGAGGTAAGTTAATGAACGAAAGCTGCTGCAAAAATTTGCAGAAAATTATCAAATCCAAAAAAAAAAACTGAAATGACAAAAGCATAAAATGAGCAGAATAATAAAGATTTTTATCAAGACGAATTTGAATTCTTGTATCTTGGAATTTTATTTGCCAAACACAGTTCGTAACGAAAAACAAAAAAAACGACAACATTTTATTCCAAATAGTTTGCCCAAAGCATTTTTCAGCTTCATGTGCATTATTCTGATTAAAATGAAACCTTCTGTTTCGCATCATTTTTATCTTCTTCTTTTTTATTTTCTCGCTCCCGATTTGGTCTCTTTTATTTTTCTTCGGTTTTTCTCATAATGAAAGAGTGGTCAAAAAACGGTTTGTGGATAAACAAAATACGTTTGTGAATAATGAATTAATTTTGAACAGAAATAGCTGAAAGCATTGGGAATATGATAAAATATCAAACAAACATTAATATCTCAATGAGAAACATTTTACTTAGAAGCTTTTATGGACGTTATTACTTCGTTATGTTGATCGATACCCCCACAATTCAAACTTGATTTGACATTAAAAAAATAAATAAATAAAAATGCATTGAATTTATACTTTCCGAAAATCGTTATTTTCCTTAGAAATGTTGCATCAGTTGTGAAATACAGTATAATTTCAACGATTTGGTCAATCGTTTATTACGTCAATAAATTGTTCACTTCTTATTTACAAAGTGTTTAAATTTGGAATTGATATGGAATGCACCAAAAATGGTATGGTTAACAAAGCTTATCGTTTATTAATGAAACAAACCAAAATGATGTAGAAAATGACAAAAGAAAACGTGCACAACAATGACAACGCAACGGAATGGTAGCTTGCATGGGAGTATGATGAGTCGAACCGTTGTCGTTGCCAGCGAAATCGAGACAATATAGTGACAACATTCGTTTGCAATGAACTGAGGCAAAGATGAAAGATGAATAAACTCATTTAAGCCCAGATTTGTCGCATATTTGATTTCACAGAGAATGAAGAGCGAAAGAGGAAGACAATGTGCAGCACTGCAGGAGTCATTTCATTCTTCACGGTTTCAGTAACACATAATTCGCTTTGAAAATCATCTAAGCGATCGACAAAAATAAAAGAAAGAAAATCAAAATGATTGTGTTCGCATACACACACTTGTTTCGATCGTCGAGCTCGCGCATTAAGTAAAAAAACAAAAACAAAGAAAAACGATCCACGATAAAATAAAGCACTTGCTTGAAGACAACACAGAAGAATGTGTTTATTTTGTTCGCGTTAAGAGAGACAGAGTGTCCGTTCAGTGCATTTGATATGATGACTTTTTTGGAGTTTGATCGGCAACACACAAGACGAATGTGTGTTGACCGCATTGCGTTATTACATCAGATTCTGTTTGTGTTTTCGTTGCACTGTTGATGATTAAGTGTTTAAGCGAACGAAGAAATAGAAAATAAGCTAATAATAGTCAAAAGTGGATGTTTTTGTACCGATCTCGAATTCAATTTTTGCGAGATTGATCGGGCAATGTGTGTGTGTGAGAGATTCCTTTGAGTTCATCGTTTCTATTGTGATATTTCCTGTAAGGTGTGCACGATCGCAAGCGAATGTCGAAAAAAAACGGCACAATAACAACGTTCAATTGGCAGTTGGTGTTGACAACGTGAGTAAAACGGAACGGCACTTTAAAAAAAATTATAGCAGCCTCTTTCTTGTTTGGTCAATTAAATATTACGGCCTGAGGCTCCCAAAGTGAATGAATAAAAAAAAGAGAGCAACCAAATGAAACTAGTCCGTTTTAACAATCTGCCGTTGTCTACGGCGTTGTTTTTATCTCTTGCTGCCGTGCAAAAAGCGAGAGCATGAAAGAGCCACTTGAATGTCGATGGAATGCCAACACTTTTCACATGCGAAGAAGAAAAAACACCAATGATCGTCTAATGTACGATGTGCTCGCTCATTTTTTCTCGCTCTCTCTCTCTTTTGCTTCTCCTTTTTATTATCAATTTGGTCAAACCCTTGATAGATGAATGCATAATTTTCTCTTTAAATCATGCAAACGCAACAAATCAACCAAAACAAAACGAACAAATGAAAAAGAATATTGCCGAGCAAAACTTATCTAGTTGGTTTTTTTTCGTTCGTTCGTTTATGCGAGAGAAGGCGATCGGTAAAAATTCAACCATTTGATAGAATATAAATTATAATTTTCCACGCCACACACCAGCACGCACTATGCTGCTGCCGATATTTCTTTTATAGACTATTGCACCATTTGTAAGAGTTATGGCTGAGAGAGAAAGAGAGCGAGATGAGATGAAACGGCATGGGATGCGATGTAGAGATGCATACGCAAAAAGACATCAGCGATTCATTTCCTGCTTTTCTATGTATTTATTAAATGCTCATTTCTCTCTTTGCTTCTCTTACACTGTACGGCAGCAGCAGCAGCACTCCTAGAGTTCGCCAATACCTCCATTCAAAACGCGAAAACGCCAGACACATTTGCAATCTGTAATTGCATAAATTCTGTGTATAGTCTCTTTGGTTTCTATCTCTCTCTCTCTTTCCTTCTCTTTCTGGCACTTATTCATTCACTTTATTAATGATATCGCAACGAGAAAATCAAACGCATTTATATTTTTCTTGATGCGTAGATATTAATTGTAAATATACAGATATTTAGTTGTTGTTGCTGTTTTTTTTTCGTTTTGTAATGTGCACGCGCATTGCACTGTGCAGAGTGCTGCGACAGAGAAACCGAAATCAGTTGTGTATGCATGACACACACAGACCCCGGCAAAACAAAATGCATAAATGAAATGATACAATAACTATTATGTGTGTTATTGGTATGTTAGGAACGGACAACAAAGCAGAGTAAACATGCCATGAACAAAACAGCAAAATGATAACACAAAACAAGACCAGCGAGAACAACACACACACAGAGAGAGAGACAAAATTATTAAACCAAATTATAGCAACAACAACAACAACAATCGCTATGCCCATAAATTGACGGAGATACAGAAACTATTACAAAATCTACACATTATAAGAAGAAAAAAAGAGACGAAGAGAGCGAATGATTGAAAACAATGCATTGCTTGTTGTACTTCATCGACGGTTTTTTAAATGAAAAAAAATGAGACCCGAATAGATATTGTAAAAGATAAAGAAAATTGAAATGTGTAGCAGCAGAGCGCGCACGCACACGCACTGATTTTTCATGTTTTGCCTCAACTTAACGTGTTTCACTTCATCGTCATCATCGCAATATATTCGGTCCGGCATGTACTCTGTATTTTTGAATATTGTTAGCGATCGGTCAAACGGTGACTGGACGCATTTTGCATTGATTTAGATTCGATTATTTAAATCAAACAAGATTACTAGTAGGCCCAATTGACAATTCGACTGGCGCAAATATTTGTTTATTTTTTTTTATCAAGAAAATTAAGTCATTTCACATTGAATTTGATATATATTGAGAAATGAATTCTAGGGATGCGGTTGCGCCCTCACAGTTTGGTACAGGGTTTGGCTGTGCTCTACGATTTAAAAGTGAATTTCGATGTCAAAGTTTTACAATTGATATCGATCAATTGCTACATGGGTTTCACTTGCACCCGGACCACTATTGGTGTGAGTGGTCCGTACGTATGATGTACGTAAACATGTAATTGCGTAGAGTTTAGAAAAGCGATCGGTGTTTGTTAGTGATTTTTTTTCTTCATTGCATTCACCATCATCTATATGTTCGATCTGCTTGTATTGTGTTGATCGTTATTGCGTTGCATTTAGTGAGAAATGTGCAATTTTTTCCTCGTTGTTGTTTGAATCGGTATGCGAAACTGACAAAGTTCAGCATCTGCAGCGGCCCGGGTACATAATGTATGTCCGTCATTATACATTGTTAATAGATATTTCGCAGAATAAGACTGGGCAAGAGCCGCCGAACTCTCTCAATTGCTCTCTGAATACAGAAAAATCAATGCATTACACGCACATTCAAATTGACGTACACACACACAAACCGTATTCATACTTTCATATTTATCAATATTTACCGAAACTATTTCTCTCGCATCGTGTGTTATGCGGCAAACCAACGACGGTTGGTTGGCTGCTGTTGTTGTTGCCATTGCACAGTGCTCTCTGAGCCACTGTTAAAACGCGTGTGCCAAACTGTGTGCTGTGCTCTCTATCTGGACGGTAAAAATCTAAAAATCGCTTACACACTTATTATTTATGTGCATAAATGAACGTTGAATTACAAAAGAAAGATTTTATATTTTTACAGTTCGCCACTTGACGATTGCGATTTGTAAATATGATGCGGGAGCAACAGCAGCAAAATTTGCTTCAAAATTATTTAAAATGTGTATCTCTCTCTCTTAGTCGCCTGTAATATACACTCTAAAAATGTCTTGTTCATTGTGCATGTGCGTGTATGTGTGTGTGCGCGCGCGGGCACATTGTAGCGTGCCCGAGTAGCACGGCTTTATCCAATTCTTTCAATTCATTTGTTTTGTAAAATGGTGTATATTAACTGGTTGTTCGCTCTATGATTAAGTGCTACACGTTTTCCATACGATGCCACATATTTATTATATCTTATTATTGTTATTCAGTTGTTTATTTCATAGATCGATGTTGTTATTATTTTTTTCGCATTTGTTTGTTTGAAATGTACCTTATTTTTTTTTGTATAGTTGAATAGAGAGGAAAAAATCGCGTACTATCGAAATTCTTGCTGCTATGAAAAGAGACGAGAAAGAAGAAAAAAAGCGGTTCAAATCAGATGCAGTTTTACCATTTTTCTCTGCCATAGTATGTATTCAAAATAATGCTTATAGCTTAAATACAGTCGCTTTTTCTATAGTATAATCACCGTCATTCTACTTTGTCTCTCTCGTTCTCTCAATCACTGTCTCGCGCTCGTTTACTCGCTCTCGATATCGATGATGCAACATGCACGCATTTGCGCATTGCCATATACTATAAACTGCAAACGCTGCTGGTTTTTGTCTGTTTTTGGCTATTAATTGTTCACGCAATGCTCCAGTCTTGCAATATATGGATCTTTTGAAAGCAATACACACTCGCCAGCACTGCAAATTGAAAATTAAAGAAAAAAAAAAAATAAAAAATATTAAACAACAACACTCTAACGCGGAAATCGAAATATTGTCTCATAGATTTTGTTTTTGCCATTTAGAAACAAGAAGAAGGAGGTAACTTTTAACTACAGAGAAGGCAAAAAAATAGAAATATTTATTATTTCTACATTTTTCACTCGAAACAAGATTGTTAGTTAGCGATAGTGAACACAGTGTTGCAATCGCACAACAAATTTGCAATATCACACATTATTATTGGCAAAAAGGTTTATCCTTAACGCATGTGACAGTGAGCGACCGAGCAGGAGAGTGGAGGGATACAATATGCGTGAGATGCAATCTCTTTGGCTGTTGGCTATTTATTTTTGGATCTCAAAAAAAAAACAATAATAATTCACCAATGTGAATGGGCTCCGTTAAATAACTCCATCGCAACACCGAGGTAACTAAACAGACCCCCTTTTATAGCCTTCGAAAGCCACAAAATTACCAAAGGAGCCAAATGAAATAAGTACTCAAAATAAAAGTTTTCTTTTTAATTTGCTGCATTCGACGAATATGAATGCACATAGTAATTCGATGTCGCCGAATGATATCTCTCTCTCTCTCTCTCTAAGTGTCACCATATCTCTTTCATTTTCTTACGCTATCTATTCCTATCTATCTCTTTTTTACACCCAAAATAACCTGTCCGAAACAAAAGTTGCACAAAATTACAACGAGCCGATTATTTTTTAGCACCCGCTCAGAGTCAATATAATCAGAGACAAAGACTATAAGCGAAACGATTGTAAATTTTTATCACTCTCTTCTTCGTCTTCGGTGATTTTTTTTCTTTTCACAGTTTGTTGCACAAACTGAAGTGAAAAAATGGTGGAATGATGGTGCGCAAAACGAATTAGAAAAATTAAAATTTATTTCGCATACTGGTTAAAATATATTGTTTTGAGAACAACGAGCGCGAATCGTTTTTTTTTGTGTTTGGCCAAGAGGTGCAAGGAAAATGCAAACAAATAAACACGATAATCAAATGAGTGTGACCACAATGAGACGAGGATGCCGGTTCAACGATAAGACCATCCAACCAACGAATGAAAAAAAAATTGCATGAAATTCTCTGCACAATGAAGATGAGATGTGCATTAAAATTTGACACAAAACAGTAAAAGCAACCAAGATCGAGTGAGAGAAGTGGAAAAGACACACACATGAAAACAACGACAACAAAAATAAAGAACGAAAGCATACGTGCATAAGCACAACAAAAAAAGTCTACCAACAGATATCAAATTACCATAATTTATAGCAATAGACTATATAGCCAAATGGAATGAGATGCATCGAACATTGATGCATTCTTTGTACATACGTGTGCTGGAAACTGAGAGAGAGGGAGAGAGAGAGAAAACAAGAGCCAACCAACTAAAACACGCAATCAAATTCGCGAATCCGTTCGTGTATGTGCCAAAACACCATTGATATAAGTTTCAATTGCATGCGTTACAAGAACGAAAGATATAAAGTTTTATGAAAAAAAAGAAGAAACAACAACAACCAAACAATTGGATTGGTTAATTCAAATGTTTTGCAATTGACAACGACGACGACTATCAAATATACAATGAAACCAAATAGAAGAAAAATACTGAAATAAAAATCATATAAAACGAGAAAAAGAAACCAATTCTATCGAACAAAAGGTATAAAGAGAAACGAATAAAAATGAATGGCCAAGAAATGGTTGTCCAAATGTGTAATTCACACTTTGCCAATCTCTTCACATTTATTTTCACGGCAATCAATACTCCGAGAAGAGTATTTCATGCGACGAAAAACATCGACACTTTCTAAAGTTTTCAAATTCGACAATTTTCAATAGAAAATGTTTTGTAAATGATTCTTATACTGGTTTTGTTGCATCATTTTCAAAGGAATTGTGAATCCATTTCATGATTTTTTAATATTTTTGAGTTTTCTTCGTAATTGATGTCATTTGATTTAAGAATTATGTTTCGTGTTTCACCCTTTATATGGCTATTTTAATATCTTAAATAATTTACGCCAAAATTTTCTAATCCAAATGATGCGACTGAAACAGACCAAATTAATTATTTAAAAATTCTTGAATAATTGCAGTGAAAGCATTTAAAATTGTTTGCATTTTCGACTAATTAATTCTGATTGAAGTTATTAGGTAGGCATTTCTATTTGGCATTTGTCTAATCTGAAATGATGAATATTAAAATTAATTTAGACATTAATCGGTCGATTAAGTTCACTGTGGAATACTAATTAATAACAGTATTTTTCAATCGCACGAAGGGAAAAAGAAAATTGTTTCATTAGTTAAATATATTGTTGTGCGTGCTTGCCAGTTAGTTCATCACACATACACACAACTGCATACACATAGAGTGTCACAGGTATTTCTTATAAATAATTCTGTGGCTTCAAATTTCTTGATCGGTGTGCTTCTCTATGAGAAAAGAATGTGAGATTCAATGTGCAACCAAAAAGAAAAATAACATCGAAAAAAAACCTGTTAAGTCGTGTATGTTCATTCCACTTGACACGATTTTTGACCGAGCGCAACAACGTTATGTTTTGTAGTGAGACAATTTTGAGAGAGAGAAAAAAAAAGCCAAAACCTGTCAAACAAACTTAACAACCAAAGATGAACGACATTTCACATTCGATTCAACAACAGCGAGAGTGAAAGAGCGCACAACTAAACCAGCCGAAGGCGAAACCAATGTAGATACAGAAACACAGATATACATTGAGTGGATTATGGAAACACCGCTGATATGTCAAACAAAACAAAAGAAATCCAAGATGCATACACTGCGCATCGTACCGGTGACCTGAACTGTTAACAGATATATGTATATGCACACACAGCAGACAGAAAAAACCATTAAGTCTATCAAATCAACAAAAGAAGGTGATCACCAACGGTCGATGGGTTCTCATCTTTTATGTATCAACGAGGAGCAAACAACAAAAAAATATACTTCAAAATGCCACGAAAAAGATTTTTTTTTTCAAGTATAAGCGATGTCGATAAACTCTTTAGTTGAAATCCAATTCAAAGTGATGTTCATTTGAACATTAAACACGAAAAGCATTGAATGTATAAAAATCGCAATGACATCGCCTATGTAAGAGAAAGTGTCATGAAAACCATGTGCCTTCGATGTCACAAAAAAAAAAAACTTGAATGAACAAAACAAAAAAATTGTAGGGAAAAAATGGATCAGCTTCATTTTTAAATGTTCAATTTTGAACGGCTGTTTTTCATTTTAACAATGCATTTTTACTGCGGCACACAACGAAAAAAAGCACAATTGGCACGGTAGCTGTGTGCTTCTGAATCACGGATGATGTTGTTAATTTGAACCGAAGCATGGTTGTTGGTCAAAAGTCACAATGTGGGGAAATGCAACTGACCAAAATCATCAATAAAATTTATTATACAAACAGTTTACCACCTTTATCTACAAACCGACGGAACGAAAGAGATTGAGAGAGACCGAGAGAGAGAGAGAGAAGAATAAGCATTGATTTCTTGCGGCAACCAAATGAATGAGCAGAGAGTTCGCACGGGGACTAAGCAAATAAGTGAGTGTGTGCCAGCGCAGTGGCAATAGCAGCAGCAACAAACAACGGCTTAATGAAAATGAGATAATCATTTTATGATTTATATTCGTCTTTTGTCGTTTTCGGTATTTGAGAGCGCAAACGAGTGTGTGTGCGCGCACAAGCTCGCGTATTATCGAAGCACATTTTTGTTGTTGTTTTTTCTCATTTCGGAGTATGTTCGTTTCACTTGCTTCACTTTAGTCACTTGTGGTCAGGCTTGGCACGGTCAACAAAAAAAGTGCGTTCAATGAAGAGATAATATTTTATTTACACATCAAGCGAGTCAGCGAGCACTCGCTCGCACAAAAGGCCCGTGAAGCATACATGCATACACTATAGGCAATATCGACAAGAAAAACTCTTTTAATGGATTTACATAATATTTACATTTTTAATTAGTTGCACGAGTTGTTTTTTCTCTCTGTCTTACTCGCTCTCATTCTATCGTATGCAGTGTCTTTTTTACTCTCATCTTGATTGGACTGAGCTTGTGAGCGCGCACTCTGCTCCGTATTCTCTTCGACTCGTTATGTTTCATCTCAAACTCGAATGCTTTTCTTTGGAATGGTTACTTTTTTTATGCCACTTTGCTCTCCATCACTATTAAATGCATAACTATCAACTGCGTACATATTTCATTTAAAGTTTATTTTTCAATTTTTATTACGGTTTTCTTTTGCTGTTGCGCTGTCTTTTGTTGTTGCACACACAGCGCGAACGCACATCGATCCGTGTGCACAACACACATTGGAATTATGTTGCTGAGCGTGCGCGCACTCCGTTATCTATGTTTTATTGTCGATTTATCAATCGCTTGCATTTTTTCCAATGTGAATGGTGTGTTGTGTGCATTTTTTTTCTTTTTCTCTTTCGATTCGTTGGCGATGAACTACACAAACGATAGAGAATAAAATGGCAATCTTTTCGCTGTTCGACCGCCCAATTTAGTCCCTCAACAACCAGCAGAGAAAGCATATTAAGACATTTAAAATTCGCTTAGTGGCAGATTGCAACTTCGGTGTGTGTGTGAGTGTTTTTTTTTTGCGCGCAGCATAAAGAATGCAATTGAACATTTTTCTTCTTCTTCAGTAGTCTCTGTAGTAACCGTGCACCGATGATGCATTCGATGTTTTTACGTATTCATTTTTTACGCGCTATGACTATTTTATAACATCGTTTCATTTATTCACCATTCAACATATATCCAAATAGGAAATACATTGCAAAATGATTAACACCTTATTGCTGCAAACGATTCTTTTTCGTTTTCTCTCTGTGTTTCGCGTTTGGGTTTTAATGTGAGACAATCAAATATTATTCCAGATTTTATTTGAAAGAGTCAGGCAAAC